ACTGTGCTTACCTTCTGACGCGCAGTCTGGCGTCTTAGAACCTGCCAGTGTCAGCTCAGCACAAAGGATGAGGAGCCCCAGAAGGACCACGAGGGCAGACTTCATGGTGCAGCTTAAAGAGAGGTGTGAGTGCCAAGACCAAGCCCCTCGGGGATATATAAGCCCTCCTTGAAGAAGAGGTTGGCTTTGGAACCAGAGCCAAAAATTAGCAGGTGATGCAACGATGAGATGGCAGTTTGGGTGACCTTTTCACACAAAAAAGGGGTTTTGGCAGGAAATGAAGACATTGCCTCCGGAGATTGGTTCATACCTGTTTGGGACCATTTTTGGCAACTTTTTCTAGTCAAAACTGGAGCTTCCTGGTTCTGCTGGCTTCTGGCAGGAGTCAACCCCGGGACATGGGAAAACCCCACAGCCCTGAACTGGCTTGGCAGAAGGGGGCTTGCGTACCAGGTGGAGGGGAGCGTTGCTGGTGATTCTCAATGGGCAGCCCTTCGTCCCCTGAGTAAAAAAAAAATAAAACGGCAAAAGTGTTACTAGTAGCAAAAAGTGTAGCTGAGAGCATGAAAATATTATTACAAACAATATCAATATCAATATCCGACTCCAGCCCGTCTGCTTGAAGTCCGGGAAGGGTTAACCACCAGTAGGGGGAGTCCTGCTGATGCACATCAACTAGGAACTCCCCGGGGTCACCACTAGGGGGCGTGCCTTGGGCCCTAACCTCCTTAGGCTTTGGACAGGACCCCTGGAATCCTTTATTGGACTACCCTTCAGTAAGTGGGGCAAGTGATGGCGCTACCTCCCCTCTTCCATCTACAGAACAATACTGGACAATATTGGCCTAACCACCAATACCCAGACAGTTGTGACGATTTGCTACGAGGTAGGCGAAAACCAAGTGGCTGGCTCCAATTTGCCAAGTGGAAAAATTCAACGGCAACCAACGAAGGTCCATAGCAAGGTCCAGGAACAAAAACCTTATAGAGTGGGAGGGTGGGAAACAGGAAAAGCTGGCGGACCGGCAAAGAGGGTGATCCCCTGCTGCTGATTGGCTGGCCAGGGGGTGACACAGCTGGGGATTCCTGCAACCCCAACTTCTCTGCAGGGCAGAAGTGGCTCTGTTGAACAGCTGCATGAAACTGTGGGGAGATCTGGAACATGGTATTGGCAGCCTGAGAACGAGAGCAGTCTTTCCCCCCTCCTCCTTCACATATCCCAAGAAGGCCACAGAGAGACAGAAGGTGTGCTGAGATAACTGAGATCACATGCAGAAGCATCACTGGTCATTCCCCAAGTTGATGAGGTTCATTTGACAGCAACAACCAAGCTTTAGGGTTATTGGACAAGTCCTATGGAACTCTCTGCCACTAGAGATTCAACAGGCGCCTTCTTCTTTTTTAAAAGCATTTATTAATTTTCCAATAAAAACATCCAATTAACATATCAAATCAGATCCAATAAAAATAAAAAAAATAAAATAAAAAAGGTCCAATTGTCTTCCAAATTGTAATAATTTTGTTTTGACTTCCCACGGTCTGAATTTCGAAGCGCATTCAACATCATAGTCCTGCCTCTCAGCATCCTCATAATTTATTCATAATTCCATGTCCGATTTTCCCCCTTCCACATTTTGACTCTGGTTCTACGATCCTCATTCATGTCAGAAAACAGATACTTTTTTTTTCCCCTATGGAGTGCAGATTTGTCCGTATATTGTACTCCTTCAGCTGTTTTTTCATCGCACCGCTTCATTTAATTGCATCCAATTTCAAAGTTCTGTCCAGCTCTTTGAGAGTTGTTATTTTGGCAGCTCCCAGATCGTTAATCTTTCCCATCCAGGTGTTATCAAAGAAACAGAGAGAAATTTCCTTCTGTAACCTCCTTGTTGATTTATCTTAAACAGACTGTTTGCAATGTAGCCATATATCAGACAGTTAGCAATTGGCCTTTGGAATCCTCCCAGTCCCCCCTCCGGGCCCTAGAGGGGGGCTGCCAGACATCCATTTAGCCCTCTCTCTCGCTCGTAATCAAAAAAACATCTTTTTGCAAACAGTTGTATATGTAATATTGTTTCCAGTCTTTATAACCAACCATCCGTTAGCTCCTGTTTCTCTTAATCAGGGAAGTATTTCAGATATTCAATAACGACGTGGTGGGAGACGCCATTTTGTCCTTTGTCCTTTGTTTTTGTCTTTAACAGACATTTCCGGTCTTAGAAGAGAGGTGGCTGCGAGTAGATCCCAATTATATATGAAAGTCCATCTGAACTCACTTTTTGAAGAGCAATTTAAGTTCTTAATGAGACTTGGCATGCATTACGGATTGTTGATGTTAAGGATAAAAGAATGTTTTCTTTACATACCAAGCCCCTCCACATTCCAAATGTCATGATGAGGATCTCTTTGAAGTTCGATCTTTTGCACCAGAGACTGTACATAGGTAAAGGTAAAGGTAAAGGTACCCCTACCCGTACGGGCCAGTCTTGACAGACTCTAGGGTTGTGCGCCCATCTCACTTAAGACGCCGGGGGCCAGCGCTGTCCGCAGACACTTCCGGGTCACGTGGCCAGCGTGACAAAGCTGCATCTGGCGAGCCAGCGCAGCACACGGAAACGCCGTTTACCTTCCCGCTGGTAAGCGGTCCCTATTTATCTACTTGCACCCGGGGGTGCTTTCGAACTGCTAGGTTGGCAGGTGCTGGGACCGAGCAATGGGAGCGCACCCCGCCACGGGGATTCGAACTGCCGACCTTTCGATCGGCAAGCCCTAGGCGCTGAGGCTTTTACCCACAGCGCCACCTGCGTCCCTGAGACTGTACATACTGCAGTTTTTTTTCCAGCTTCTTCAATTCAGAGCGTGTCTGTTTGTTTTCCAAATCTTTATATTTTCCCAAACAGATGTGTCTGGCTATGGGGTGGCATCACAGGAGTGTCAGCTGTCCCTAGCTCCATGACCCAGTGCCCCTGCCGTCTGCCACATAAGCAATCTGGGGCAGACCGCAGGTCGTTGAGACAGTCCTCCCCTGCCCTGGGGAGGCTGCCAGGGTTAATTACCCCCATATCAGCCCTGAATTATCGGAACAGCTGAAGTCCGATTGTGTGGGATCAGCCATTTTCCACCGCCGGAAACAGGAAGTCAACAGGCGCCTTCTGTGCCAGTTTGCCTGCTGAAAATTTTGCTATTCCACCAGGCCTATGCAAGCAATTAAGAATAAATTGTTCCACAATGTTAATCAATGTCTGCTTTTAACTTTTTTATTGTATGGGTTTGTGTTTTTATTGCTGTAAACCACACACACACACACACACACACACACACACACACACACCTGTGGTGTACAAATATCTAAATGAATGAATGAATAACCGTTGCTTGAAAGCAGCCAAGGACCAGATCACAGAGGCTGCCAAACTGGAAATGGATCTAGGCAATAAGGCGGACACTTTGTCAGAGAATTAGCCAATCTGAGGCTAAATTTACAACCGGTCTTGGGTGGAGCTGCATTTTGTCATCTGAGTCCGACCTGAGCCTTGGAAGTGATGCTGGATGTGGGTGCTCAGCTGGGAACTGCGGCCAGAAGTCTTATCGCAGAACATCTGCTGCTGTGCCAGCTGCTGTAAGCTGTTCCTGGAAAAGGCAAGCTGGCAAGCTGGCACATGCCTCAGCCACATCCAGAGGAGGTTCTGGCTACTACTATAATTATTAGGATGCAGGTGGTGCTGTGGGTTAAACCACAGAGCCTAGGACTTGCCAATCAGAAGGTCGGCGGTTTGAATCCCCGCGACGGGGTGAGCTCCCGTTGCTCAGTCCCAGCTACTGCCCACCTAGCAGTTTGAAAGCACGTCAAAAGGCAAGTAGATAAATAGGTACTGCTCCGGCAGGAAGGTAAACGGCGTTTCCGTGTGCTGCTCTGGTTCACCAGAAGCGGCTTAGTCATGCTGGGCACATGACCCGGAAGCTGTACGCCGGCTCCCTCGGCCAAGAAAGCGAGATGAGCGCCGCAACCCCAGAGTCGGTCACGGTCAGGGGTACCTTTACCTTTACTATTATTATTATTATTATTATTATTATTATTATTATTATTATTATTTACCCTCCCTTTCTCCCTGATGGGACTCAAGGCAGCTTAAAGATAATAATAATAACCACTAAAAGCATAGAATAAAACACAAATTAAAAATAACAATTAAACATTGTGTGCATGTGTGCATGTGTGTATCTCATTTATTCAAGCCAAACAAACAATTACAATAAAAACAGCATCACACCAGCCCTTTCATTAAAACAGCACTTCCCAAAAGCCGGCTGGAAAGTCTTTACCTGCCCGCAGGACAAGAAGGGAGCCAGTTCAATGGATGCAAAGCGCAGCAGCCCAAGTACTGATGGAGCATGTTCCAGTGGTCACATTGATGGAACCAGAACTGCAGGTTCTCTTGCTTTCTGTTTTAATTGGTAAGCTGAGCTTGGCGTGGGGCTAATTCAAAAGGAATATAGATACCCCAGAGACCCAGGGCTCTGAGCATCAACTAATGTCTGCTTCTGGGATGAGCTTGCATGACGTGGTCTTTCCAAGAATGACTGAAAGAAATACTTGCAGGGCGGGGAACCGTGTTTGCACAGGAGCAAGTAGGAAGATAATGATGATACCGGGAAGGATATTGTGCTGAGAAGGCAGCCAAGCATTGTCTGTCCAGACCATTCCCTCCTAGTCTGTCTAGGTGCTGTTTCCCCAGAGCAGCGGGAAAGACAGCTCAGGGCCACCCTTCCAAACAACACGGTTCCCCGCCCTGTAGGTTCCCCGCCCAAGAAGGGTGGATTTGCCCTTCACCCAGTGCATTTCCCCTCCTAACTCTGCCCCATTGCGAAGCTGTCCTTCCCTGGCTGTATGTGTGATCCGTTGGGTTTCCACAGCCCTCAGCCAGAGGCTCTTCCTCCCTCCCTCCTGCCAACACCCTTTTGGAAAGATATAAGCAAGCAAGACTCAAGAACAAGACACTCTGGTATGCAGGCACAGGGATCATTTTATTGCAGACAGGGAAGGAAGCTGGATCGGGCCCATTGGGTCAAGAGGGAGCTGGATTTATCGTTGCCTTCACTCCTTGGGTTCTGAGTTCACCTCTCCAAAACTGTAGAAGTTGCAGGGATTTCAGGCTGTGCATCACTGTCGTCAGTTTACTGTGGGAGTAAAAGAGTGTTCAAGCATCCAAGAACCCTACAGAGATCGGTGCTCATCACCCTAGCTAAGCAGACGACAAGGGTTCCCTTACCTGGAGATGCCCAGATGGGGCCTGGGACCAAGGTGCTCATTGACAGAGCTATGGCCCCATCCCCCTGTTCCCATGTCATGATTATGGACCATCTCTTAGCTGTCAGTTCAGAGGCAACAGGCATCCCTCCTTGAGCAAAACTTGGACAATTTGTTCAGAACTGCTGTCTTCAGCCCACCTAGTTCCTTTCCTGACTCCATTCAAGGTGCCTTCATTAATGTCAAAAGCCCTAAATAACTTAGGCACCAACTATCTGAGAGAGCCAGTGTGGTGTAGTGGTTAGGAGCGATAGACTCGTAATCTGGTGATCCGGGTTCGTGTCTCCGCTCCTCCACATGCAGCTGCTGGGTGACCTTGGGCCAGTCACACTTCTCTGAAGTCTCTCAGCCCCACTCACCTCACAGAGTGTTTGTTGTGGGGGAGGAAGGGAAAGGAGAATGTGAGCCGCTTTGAGACTCCTTCGGGTAGTGATAAAGCGGGATATCAAATCCAAATCCAAATCCAAATCCAAATCCAAGCTTCTCCATACTTGCAGACTCTCTTGGGAGTAAACATTAGCGGGCAGTTCCTCCACCCTGACAAGTCATCTCTGGGGCAGCCCCTAAGTTGGGGGAACTCCCTTCCCACAGAGGTGTGTCTGGCACCCTCATTATGTTGTTCCCACCTGATAGATATCTACATCTTTGGGGGACCAACTCTATTCCTGAGACTGCAATTTGTTTTAACTGCAGTTTCAAACTGCAACACACACTGGGAGCCCATAGTGAAGGAAAGGGGGGGGGCAATAAATAACAATAAATTATCCACAAGGGGCTCAGCATCTTACTTGGGTTTTCGCAGACCATGGAGCAAAATTTTGAGCAGCATTTCTGGATGGAAGGACAATCATAATCTGTATCACACCACTTAATGCAAGGTGGCTTCACTACTGCAGCACGGATAGGGCAATTCCCAGGCTTCCCTGAAACAAAGAACATCATTATGGCTCAGAGACAACATTTGAAAAGCCTTTATTTACCCCAGCCTTTATAGGATGAGCACAGCCCAGATGAATAAGTTTCCTCCTGTTTTTCTCCTCCCGCTGAGCACAGAGTTGAACATCTGGGTTGCAACGGGATCAGTCTTTGCTGGGGCTGGCTAACTTATCCCACAGTGGCCACGCCCATCCCTTGATGGGGATGTGTAGTGTGGTGTAGTGGTTAAGAGTGGTAGACTCGTAATCTGGGGATCCGGGTTCGCATCTCCGCTCCTCCACATGCAGCTGCTGGGTGACCTTGGGCCAGTCACACTTCTCTGAAGTCTCTCAGCCCCACTCACCTCACAGAGTCTTTGTTGTGGGGGAGGGAGGGAAAGGAGAATGTTAGCCGCTTTGAGACTCCTTCAGGTAGTGATAAAGCGGGATATCAAATCCAAACAACTCTTCTTCTTCTTCTTCTTCTTCTTCTTCTTCTTCTTCTTCTTCTTCTTCTTCTTCTTCTTCATGCCAAGTTCTTTCCAGCTATGGACTGGGCACCAGAGACCTCTTTTCTGCGCCTGCTTAACTCCTGGGCTGCAGCTTTAAGGGCCACCTTTACTTGCTTGTGTGTGTTGGGGAGGTGCCTCCATCTCTATCCTCCTCAGCTGTCACCCCACTTCTCTTCCTTCCTCCCATCCATAAGAACTCTCTGGTTTCCTACAGGAGATGGCAACGCATTGAAGGACTCACTGTGGAGCCACCTACAACATTCCCAGGTATAGCAGTGCCTCTGCTCCTCTGAAGAGTCTGGACTCTACACCTGGAAGGGTTTGGGGGTGTGGGATGAAGGGGGTCCCACTTGGAGGCCCACACAAAGCAGCATCAGAAAGATTGGCCCCAATGGGGTCACATACCTTGGGCTGAGGCAGAGGGCATCATGGCACATAGAGCGAAGAGCCCCACGAGGAAGAAGACGAGGCCACCAGACTTCATGGTGAGGCAGAGCAGAGTGCTCTCTAGCCTGTAGCCAGGTGCTTTATAAGGCCACATCCTCAGGGGAGTCCTGCCCAGATTTAATTGGCTGTAGGAAGGTGAGGCCATCATTGCCCAAGAAATGATGAGAAGCATGTATTGCACAGGTTGTGGTCCCTGTACAAGGGAAGATCAAAGAGGTTGTTTTGCAATATATTCCCCATTTCCCCATTCAGTGACACAACAACACATGTCCCACTCAGAGGCTTCCCTGGTGCTTCTGGTTGGCCACAGTGAGGATGGAATGATGGCACAGCAGCAGGGTCTTTGGCCTGATCCAGCGCAGGGGGCTCCTCTTGCCTCCTCATGCTCTCTTCCAAGCGCAACCAGCAGAGCACTCCACTGTGCACTCTTTCTGGGCCCACCAAGCACCTTCAGCCATGTTCAAAGAACCACAGGCTTGCAAAAAACAAACCAACCACCAACCCCTTAACCATTTGAACTCGAAGATGGAGAAAGCATTTGGAATACCATGTGCAGTTCTGACCACCTTCCCTCGATAGGATATTTTTTCTGAAAAGGTTCAGAAAAGGGCAACCAAAACTAGGAAAGGGATGGAGCCCAAGCCCTACAAAGAAAAGTTAATAATAATATTATAATAATAATAAATTAAGGTCTGTATAGTTAAAACTATGGTTTTCCCAGTAGTGATGTATGGAAGTGAGAGCTGGACCATAAAGAAGGCTGATCACTGAAGAATTGATGCTTTTGAATTCTGGTGCTGGAGGAGACTCTTGAGAGTCCCATGGACTGCAAGAAGATCAAACCTCTCCATTCTGAAGGAAATCAGCCCTGAGGGCTCACTGGAAGGACAGATCCTGAAGCTGAGGCTCCAAGACTTTGGCCACCTCATGAGAAGAGAAGACTCCCTGGAAAAGACCCAGATGTTGGGAAAGATGGAGGGCACAAGGAGAAGGGGACGACAGAGGACGAGATGGTGGACAGTGTTCTTGAAGCTACCAGCATGAGTTTGACCAAACTGCGGGAGGCAGTGGAAGACAGGAGTGCCTGGCCTGCTCTGGTCCAGGGGGTCACGAAGAGTCGGACATGACTAAACGACTAAACGACTAAACAACAACAACAATAATAATGAATTGTTATTTGTATCCCACCCTCCCCGGCCGAGGCTGGGCTCAGAGCAGCTAACATCATAAAAACAACGCAATAAGCATAAAAACAGACATCAATTAATTAAAATACATCTTAAAATTAATTCAGACAAGTTAAAATCTGGGCAGGTGGCAATTATCAGGGTGGAACTGAGAGTGGTTAATACTCGCCAGGACCAACTGTTGGCGGACCACTGAGCATACAAAGACCTGTGAGAGAGTTGGGGGCCTCCTTTGGGCTTGTTTTATACAAAGGAAAGTAAGTCAAACTGCATCCTGCCCAAAGGCCTAGCGGAACAGCTCCATCTTGCAGGCCCTGTGGAAAGATGTCAAATCCCGCAGTGCCCTGGTCTCTTGGGGGGGAGTGTTCCTCCAGGCCAGGGCCATGGCCGAAAAGGCCCTGGCTCTAGACGAGGCCAGTCTAATTTCCCTAGGGCCTGGGATGTTCAAGGTGTTGTTGTCAGCAGACTGTAAGCACTGGCGGATTAAGGGGGGGCAAGGGGAGTGCACCGCTTCTGGCAGCGTGATCCTGGGGGGTGCCATCAGGGCTGTTCCCCCGCAGGCAGCGCATCACAGCCCCAGGACGCGTGCCACACACCCCAGGACGCGCACAAGCTCAGTCACTGACCATGAGGTCTTCTGTGGGACATACCAGGAGAGGCGATTCCGTAGGTACGAGGGTCCTAGGCTGTATAGGGCTTTAAAGGTCAAAAACGCCATCTTAAACCTGACCCTGTACTCCACCGGGAGCCAGTGCAGCTGGCAAGCAAAACTAGGAAAGGGATGGAGCCCAAGCCCTACAAAGAAAAGTTGCAACATTTGGGATTTCTTTAGTTTAGAGAAAATACAAGTAAGTTAACAGGATAGTTCATAAAATGATGTGTGGCATGGAGAAATACGGTAAAGTTTTTCTGGCAGCTCTCATAACATCATGGACCTCCATGGACATCCAATGTCTAACTGGAAATGGTTGGATTCGAAGATGGAAGGAAGTCCTTCTTGATGCAGCTTTATAAACTGTGGAATTTGCTGCTTCAGGAGACAGTTGGTGCCACTAACTTGGATGGTTTTAAAAGAGGGCTAGACCAATTCATGGAGGGCCACTGATGGCTTCTAGCCAGGATGGCTATGCTTTGCCTGCATAGTTGGGCACAGAAATGCTTCTGAATCCCAGTTCCTGGAAACCAGGAGCAGGCAGAGGACTCCTGTGCTTCTATTCTGCTTGAGGGCTTCCCACTGTGCTTGGAATGCATGCCATTGTTTTTACCACAGCCACATTGTTTTTGCATTTTTAGTAAGTTTTTATTGTGTTTTTATCATTGATGTTCTGCCCTGGGATCTCTGATCAAGTATGCTATAATCATCATCATCATCATCAGCTATCTCAAAGGTGGGGGCTCAGGGTGACCACAACCATCAACTCTGACTGGTACAATTGCAGTTCCTCCTCTGTGAAGCCACCATGTTTCCTGGTCCAGACAGGCTCCCTCCCATCACTTTGCAAGCCCTATATGATTGAGTGTTATGTCAACGGTGAAGACAGACCTGGCGTCAAGATGCAACTATGAGGAACAGCACAGCTGCTGGCCTAGCTGTCATGGAACTGCAAAGGCACAGGAGCCCAAGTAGAACTAGGCTCTTGGCCACCCCATCAGGTGACGCTTTGGGCTTCCCACTGGGACTTCTGCTTGGCCACTGTGAGAACAGGATGTTGGACTAGGTGGGCCAAGCCTTGGGTCTGATCCAGCCACAGGACTCTTCATGTGTTCTCACATTTTGTGCTGGGGCAAAATAGATAAATCTCCTTTTTTGACCCTAAAATATGCAGTGCAGCCCTGAAAAGGTGCCTTCTGCCAAGTCTTGCTGGCCAACTGAAGAAACAGCTGAGACCACAGCCTTTGAAACAAACAACGTAGACAAAATAATTAAATCTCAGAAGGATCTTTTAGCAGTGCCTACACGTTGTAACTCCCACCTATTGATTCAAAGCTGGCGCCTTCACTGTACACTTTTCGGTGACTGCTAAAAACATTATTGTTTAGACACTCTTGTCCACATTGTTTACAAAGCTGATGTGAGTTTTAATCTGTTTCCAGCCTATTATTATTTTAACTTTTTGAAAGTCCTTATATTTCTTATGGATGATTGTATCATTTCTTTCTCCTTTGGAAACGGCTTTGAGCTTCTTCTTTTTACAATCAAGCAGTGTATATATTTCATGCATTAAATACAACTTTGATGGCTGTGCCACTGGGAAGCATAGCTGAAAATGCTTCTCCATCCAACAGCATTTGGGATGACCCAGATGGGGACTGTTTTCACAAGAGCATGAAGAGGAGGAAGATAATGGTGCTACCGGGAAGGATATTGGGCTGGGAGCAGCAGCCAAGCGTTGTTTGTCCAGGACAATGTCCTCTCCCAGTCTGCCTAGGCGCTGTTTCCCCAAAGTATCAGGAAAGACAGGTTTGGGCTGGCAGATTTAATGTATTTTTAATCTCTTGTTGGAAGCCGCCCAGATTGGCTGAGGAAACCCAGCCAGATGTATGGGGGTATAAGTAATAAATTATTATTATTATTAAGAACAACACAGTTCCCAATCCAGTGAGCTTGCCTTTCTGTCATCCACCAGGCTCCCATGTCCTGAAACACATCCCAGAAGCAGGAGAAGTTAGGGGGTGCTTGAAGTCAAAGGTCTCTGGGGTATTACTCCACTTGTATTAGCCCAATAATGGTGGCGCTGTGGGTTAAACCACAGAGCCTAGGGCTTGCCAATCAGAAGGTCGGCCAGTAAAGCGAGATGAGCGCTGCAACCCCAGAATCGTCCATGACTGGACCTTACGGTCAGGGGTCCCTTTACCTTTATCTTAGGATCAGCTTACTTACCAATTAAAAGAGAAAGCAAGAGACACTCTTGTTCCACCTGCAATCTCATAGCCTCCAACATTTCTCCAATGAAAATAGGGACGTCCCATTCCATAATGATAATTTTTCTATTTATACCCCACACATCTGACTGGGTTGCCCCAGCCGCTCTGGAAGGCTTCCAACATATATCAATACACAATAAAAAATTAAACATTTTTTTAAAAAAATAAAAAACCCACTTCCCTGTACAGGATTGCCTTCAGACGGCTTGGGGGTCAGATGACTCCATACCCTCCAACATTTCTCCAATGAAAAGAGGGACATTTTGGTATCAGATCAGAAATGGGACAGCTTCTCTTAATCAGGGACGTCCCTGCAGAATAGACTCAGTATATTATAAAATGATACTTTGTAATGGGTATGTATTTTTGTACATCTTTGAATAAATAGCAGTATTTTTTTAAGGCATCGATTAACGTTGTGGAAGGATTTATTTTTAACTGCCTGCATAGGCCTGGTGGAATAGCAAAGTTTTCAGCAGGCGTTTGATCAGCACTCCTTCAGTCTCTCTGTAGCCTTCTTGGAGAGGAAAGAGACCGCTCTCGCTCTCAGGCTGCCCATATCAATCCCCAGCAGTCTGAAGCAGCTGTTCAACAGCTGGAGAAGGAGCAGTGGGGAACCTGTCAATGGAAAACCCCCTCCTTGCATTGCAGGGCGTTGTACTAGATGACCCTGGAGGTCACTTCCAACTCTACAAATCTATTATTCTGTGTAAATGCATGCAGAAGACCTGTCTTCCTCATTCATTCTGATCACAGCTCCTACACAGCCCTCCAAGAGAAATGCCCAAAGTGAACGGTTTGGCTTTAAAAGTAGTATGTTCTATAATTATGCTGTGTTTGAAATAATATACAGCGTCCACTATATATGCAGCATCAACAGAAGCCTAGTGTCCAGATCAAGGGAAGTCATAATCCCTCTCTATTCTGCCTTGGTCAGACCACACCTGGAATACTGTGTCCAGTTCTGGGCATCACAGTTTCAGAAGCCGGTTGACAAGCTAGAAGGTGTGCAGGGGAGGGCGACCAAGATGATCCAGGGTCATCTTGCCTTGTGAGGAACAGTTATGGTTAT